CTCACCAAAGTTTTGGTTACACGAAGGACACTGGTTGCAAAGAATGATCCCTTCTTGCAAAGCACATAGTCTTTGTCCCCTGACACACACTTTATCTCCTCATCCATTTAAGCAGCTCCCTTCCTGTACACGAGAGGTGTGAGCAACCTTGTCCAGCCAGCCATTCCTGGACTTCCTGTTAAGTAAGTCCCAGTAAGCCCTCATGTCTCATATGGCATCTCTGGGTGTTCCCTTCACACTTTCCAGTGCCTTCCCATTGCACCCGCCCACTTGGACATGCGAGCGGAATTGTGATCACACATTTCCTTATGTGAGGATGTATGTAAACGGCCATTTGGACGGCCGTGGAGGTGTCACTGAAGTCCACTTGGATGGGAAAAATGAAAGTAACTAGAGAGGGTGGGGAGAGAGAGAAGAGGATTCACATTTTTGAGACTGAAATTCAAATTTTGTAGTCTACTGGCCATATTCACCAATTATTTTCTGCAGCCTATTAACAAGTTTTATAGATCCCTTAGCCTATATACCTATCTACCTCTACCTCTATCTCCTACATCTTCACTTCTGTGTCCATATCCATTGTATCCTATGTCTGTATCTATATCTATATCTCTTAGATGTCATAGTAGGACCAAGAGCGTTTATGTCTTGTGTGTCAGGTCACAGCAGAATTTTACTCATCTGGCCACTGATTATTGTAAAAGAGCAACATATAGATTTGTTGGTTGTCTTACATAATATCACTTCTCTTCTGGTGTTGTTTGGCAGTTGACAGAGGCCTTCTAGTTTGAGCTATCATGAACTCTTTGAAGAAGGGAGGGATAAGTTTACTCATTGATCTTCATTTCAATGAGATTTCTCTTTGGGATGTCAGAGTCTCTGGTCGGGCATGCTGCCTCACTTGGAGCCGAAAGAGGGTGAGAAAACATTCAGTTGGCCAATCAGATCAGCCAGGACATCAGTCATGGACATCAGTGGGTGCCCAATGGCTGTCATATCTTAGTCCCATTTAACAGGGGAGGGAAGAGGTAATGAGAAAGGGAGGTGGCTTGCCAAGTTTCCCACTGTTGACACTAGTAGACGTCATCCAGATACTTAGTTTCTCCCCATTTACTCACCCCTGTTCCGTGTTATGCTAAGCACTGAGAGTATTGCAAGCCAGACAGATGCCCTCTCTCCCTCATGCCTTTGGTATGGAGGGGAGGATGGACAATTAAGTAAGCAGTAGCAATGTGTTGTGGGGACTCTCCTACAACTGGGGTAGCAAAGGTGCTATGGAGCATGTAATGAATACTACATACCTAATCTGGGTATCTGTGACCCAGGAAGGCTTCCCAGAAGAAATGACACTTAAACTAATATAAAACCTCAAGGATGAGCAGGAATTACCCAGGAGAACTGGGGATAAGGTGGTAGGGTTGGGAAAAAAATGTTCCAGGCAGTGGCAACAGCATGAACAAAATTCTGGCAATGAGAAAGAGCATGATGCACATAAGGAATTTTTAAAAAGTACAATATTGTTGGAAAATACAGTGAAGTTGGTTGGGGTAGGTGGAGCTCATAAGACATACACAGGAGACTTGCTTTCTCATATAGGTTTTACATTGTTAAGGGCAAGGAACATGTTTTTGCCCCTCTTGTGAGTTGAACAGCTCCAGGCCGAGCATTAATGTTTGATGTCAATGTTTGTGTGAATGAATTTATGAGGGCAAAAGCCACACACATCTATACAAACTCCAAGAATGCCTATGTCTTTCATTATTTGAGTTAAGTATTCGCTAAAATACAATTTCCTAAAAGCACATGACATTTGAGGTTGACTCACATGTCTTCCTTTGAGCTTGGGGAAAGTATCTTCCTGCCTTTCTGAGAATCTTGCCTTTTGCCCAGCATTTCTGCTAGGTTCTGGGGGGAGGCGCAAATGAACCCCCGTCTTCTCTGTCAGGCTTTGCTTGTCCCTCAGGGTCTCATGAATGGTCAGCCCAGGTGACTGGAGCCTCTGGTTCAATGGCTAAAGGCTCAATGAACATTTGGAAATTTGACTTGGGGAAGTGGTTGCCCACAGAGGTCAAGTTTAAAGATGAGATCAGAAAAGGAGCTGATACTGGGAGCAAAATTCATATTAACTACTTATAATCCTTATATATGGGCCCATCTTTTGCTGGAATACTTGAAGAGACACACACACGCATGCACACACACACTAATGAATGCAGGGTGAATTTCCTTAGCTTAGGACCCACTTTTGAGATGATACTTTCTTTTCCCCTTTGCGCCTTTATTCCATATTTGAGTCATTTTCCCTAATGAAACTATCAGGCAGAACTAATCCAAACATCGGCTTAATTAATCAATATTTGGCAGTCCATAACTACATGCACCCATCCAAATTACTTGTGACAACTTCCTTAATACAAAAGCAAAACATCTACAAAGAGGCAGTGACTCTGTCAGCTGGCTGGAGAACTTGGCTCTTCAATTTATGTAATATATTTTAATAAAGTTGTAATAAACCTTTAGTTCTCAGGTATGACAGGGAGCATTTTGCTGCCAGAAAATGTTATTTTATTTTTAACTCAATAAAGGAAACATAAAGTGCCCTTGCGGTATAGATGTGCTCTCACCAAGAACTGCCCCTGGACAGAGGGTGAGTTCATGCCTCACGGATGCCTTTGGGTCAGATACTCAGACAAACAGGGCCCTCAGGGGCTGATGCTCTGGCCAGCCAAGAAAATGAATGCAGCCAGCTGGCTTCTTGTGGAAGGTGTGATTCTCCTTCAGAGACTGATCTCACAATAGGAAGAAGAATCAGAATAAGAATGATAATGTTTCTTATTTGTTTACTACTTCATGGTTCACAGAATACTTTCATGCACCTAGTCTCATTTGATCTTACAATGTCCCTGGGACATAGGTGAGAATTCCTCCCTGTGCTCTTTCCTTCATTTAACACCAATATATCTTCACCTACTCAGTGCTAGGAACTGGGATATTCATTAAAGACTGGGGGGTGATCAAGATAGATGTGGTCTGCTGTGATGGACATCTTCATTTGCCCCTCCAGGTCTGCATCCTCCTCCACCCTGACCTGCGCCCAGCAGGCTGACCTGTGTGGACTACAGCACCTGGCCTGTCTGCCCTTTCAGTTCGGTTTGGCCAATGGGAGGCAGGAGACTGGAGGAGAGAGGAGATAGAGGCTGAGACACTCATTCCCTGGCTCTCTCCTGCTGGCTTGTAGGCTGGCAAGGTCTGCATTCCTCTGCCTAAAGCCACAGATCCCCTTTCTCTGGAGTACAGCCATACTTCTCTCCAGATTCTAGAAATCGCTCTCTTGTCTTGCCCCTTCAGGCTTGGGAGAAGTAATAGCTTCACACCCTTGCTGCCCTAAACTCTCAAAATCAATTACTCCACTAGAATATGCCATCTGTTTCCTGCCAGGGCTCTGACTACTACACGTAGTTTCATGTACATACAGACTGGTGGGCATTAACCAAATAACTGCATAAATAATGAATCACAATTGTGATAGATGCTACAAAGGATGAGTGTAATGTTCCGGGAGAATATATAACTGGGCCTCTAACTTACTCTAAGGAATCAGGAAGGACTTCCTTGCAAGGGTAGTATTTAACCTGAGACAGGAGGGCTGAAGAAAAGCAGTCATGAAGATTTTAGGTTGGGTGGGATAGGGCCATGTTTCAGGCAGAAGAAATGACATGTCTGAAGTCCTGAGGGGTGGAAGGAAATTTGTTCATTGGAAGAAGACTTGGAGAACCCTGGTGTGAATGGGCCCAGACGTGATGACGGCTGAAAGCCCTCTGGATCAAGGAGGAGGGGAGGAAAGGGACGAGGAGACAGACTCGAGCTGGGATTCAGGGCTGGGGCAAGGCGTGCAGGTCTGACACTTAGGGCACAGGACAGAAGTGCTCACTCCCAGGGTCTTGCTGGGGAAGGGGCAGTCCTGACAATGATGCCTACTTCAATTTTGTTTGCTAGAGCCTCACTTGCTTTGCCCTAGTCCTGGCTCTGCAGAATTCTGGAAATGACATCAGGAAAGGGAGTGTCCTGGGTGAGGATGGGGACAAGAATGAAGAAAGGTGGTCTGAGAAGAAGGAAAAATTTTAAATAGGGAGAAATTAGAGTGGAAAAACCAGGTCTGAAGCAAAAGAACCAATATTGAAGTTCAGAAGGCACAGAGGAGACAGTCTGGGAATATTCTCTGCACAGCTGCTAGGTTAGATGTGGGCTCACTTTCCTAGGATATCTGTAACCATGTCTATGGTGGGGGAGCTTTTAAGGGCACCAAACCTCAGTAGATGTGTTCACCTTGGCAGGGGCCAAGAGCCTTTATAGGCAATTTGTATTTCCTACTTATAGCTCATAAGTAACAGAGCTGGTACTATAACCCAGGACTCTTGACACACGGTCCAGTGTTATAACTAAAAATATCAGCACCAAGAGCCTGAGACCCCAAGCAATCACCTCTCCTGTGCATCTGAAATGGGTGCTCTGCCAGCCTGGCCCTTCCTCATGGGCTGCAATGAGTTCACCCAATAGTGAAGCTAGAAGGAACAGACCACACACAGGACCACCTCCACACCAACCTCAGTTCAGGAAGGGGTCCCCAAACCACTCTCAGGTTTGATAATTTACTAGAAGAACTCAGAGAACTCCTTGAAAGCTGTTTTATACTCATGGTTATGGTTTATTAAAGGAAAGGATACAGATTTAAATCAGTCAAGAGAAGTGCTAAGGGCAGAGTCCAGGAAAGGTACCAAATGTGGAGCTCCCACTGTCCTTTCCCTGAGCTTGTAGACAGAACTACTTTTCTGCCATAAATATGTGGCAATACACTTGTAATACTGTCAACCAGGGAAGCACACCTGTGACTTTTGAGTCCAGAGTTTTTAGTGGGGCTCCATCAGTTACTGCCTATGAGGCTGACCATTAGTTTCCAGCCTTTACGGTAAAACTGATACCACATGGTCTAGAGCCCCCATCATAAATCACACTGTCAGAATGTTCAGCGCCCAAAGCCACCAGCAACAAAGACACTGCTCTCTGACAGGGCCTTCCAAAGGCCTAGAGCTCACCTCCCAGTAACCAATGGCAAAGGCCAGACTTCTCCTTGGGTAGTTATTCTTCACTGCACATTTGCCCTTATGGGAAGTCTAGCTGGCTTGCATTAGTTTCTTAGACAGTAGATGAAGGATCTAGGGGTGTTGAATCCAATTTTTAAAAAATTATTTATTGTTTTATTATAAAATTAACAAATGCACATGGTAAATTTTTCTAACAATACAGAAATGCATAATACAGAAAGTCCCCCATCATAGAACATAATCCAAAAGTATATATAAAACAGAAATTTCCCCATAATTCAAGAAATAACTCTTCTTAAAAATTTGGTTTTTATTTTTCCATTTTTTCTATGCATATTTTAACATATAAATATGTAATTACTTTGAACAAAAATGATATGCTCTATATAATGTTCTGCAACTTGCTTTTCCCCCTTAACAGTATATCATAGATATGACAAAGAAATGTCAACACATATAAATGAACCTCATTTTTTCAACAGCTGAATAGTATTCCAGTGAACGAATCACAATTTATTTAACCATTTATTGATAGGCATGCAAGTTATTGCCAATTTTTTTCTTTTGCAAATAATGCTGCAATGAACATTCTTGTACATATATATAATTGGACCCTGTGCTGAAATTCCTGTAGGGCAAATTCTTAAAAGAAGTATTGCTGAATTAAAGAATATGTGCATTTTGCAATTTAATAGATTTTGCCAAATTGTACCCTGAAAAGCAGATCCAATTTATACTCACAGTAATGATGTTTGGGAATGCTGGGTTCCCCTCACAATCTGGTTGTTATTAATCCTTTACATAAATCCAAATATTTAAAGTGAAACTAGCATCATGTTATTTTCATTCCCTGAGCTGGATGGCTACCTACTTCCCCCTCAATGTCTGCACTGGGGGACAGCTCTCCTGGCCCCAGCCCCAACCTGTGAGAATTGGGTGATGGAGAATGTGGGTGGCCTGGAAAGCTGAAGTCTGGAGTAAAGCAGTCATATGGGGACTTACATGATATTTTTATTCATGTAGACATTTGATTTGACATTGAACATTTGAAACTTAGTCCTCTGGGCATGCCTAATGCCCCATGATTTCTCCCTGAGTTAGATTTATTAGTTTTTTGTTGCTGTGTAACAAACTACCACAAATTTAGTAACAAAAAACATGAGTTTATTATCTCACAGCTTCTGTAGTCCAGGCATGGTGCCACAGCTGGGTCCTCTGTTTAGCATGTCACCAAGCTGAAATCAGGTGTGGACTGGGCCTGCATTCCCACCTGAACCTCGGGTCCTCTGCCAAGCTGATTCAGACGGTTGGCAGAATTGCAGTGCCTGTGGTCTTATGACTGAGGTATCTGATTTTTTTCTGGAAAGAAGTGTCAAGTTGGGGCTTGGGTCAGGCTGAAGTCCTAGAGGCCACCTTTAGGTCCTAGCCGCATGGGCCTCTCACAACATTGAAGCTTCCTTCTTCAAGGCCAGCAGGAGAATCCTTCCTCTATCTGCTACCACAGTCTTATATAAAGTAACAGAAATTGTGGGAGCATCTGATCACTTGGGTTATATAACATAACCTAGTCACTGGAGTGACTATCCCATCATATTCCCAGGCCCACACTCAGGGGAGGGAATTTTGCAGGCATACACAGCACTGGGGATGTCTTGGAAGCCGTCTTGGATTTCCATCTACCACTTGAGCTAACATGGGAATGGAGTCTGTGTGCGCTGGGCTTCAGGACGGGGCTGGGGAAGCTGCAATCCCAGGTGCACTGTCCTTTGGCAGGATCATCACAGTCCTCTTCTATTTTTGTCTTTTATGTGGTTACTATGGAGAGGTCCTGATGGACCCTGCAATAGCACCGTTCGAGGTTTCTGCTGGCTTTCACCTCCTTTTCCTGCCTTGTCCCTTCATTTCATGGGATGGGTCCAGGTGGCCATAATTATTCCACGCAGCTGGGGTGAGTGTCAGACCTAAGCTAGAGCAGTTTGGAACTAGGATTGAGGATACATTAGTTAGTGGTTGGAGCTACTGAAGCTGGGAAGATCTGGAGCCCAGGCAGGAACAGCAACTTATACTACCTGCACAGAGAAGAAGGAATTCAATCAGGAGAGAAAAATTAAAAACCAAAGGCAATAGGTGAAGAGAAGCAATGATTAGGTGGCCAATTAGCATGGTTTGCTGAGGACTAAGGGGAATCCTAGGACATAGGACTGTCAGTGCTAAAATAAAAAAGCCTCAGGCAAACCAGGATAAGTTGGCCATCCTCAGTAGAGAAGAGAGACCTGTGGCCCTGGAGAGGGACAGAGGAGCTTCCCTGAATCCTGATGCTCGCCAGTGCCCGCTCCCAGCCCTGAGTCCCCTGGATCACCCCCATAACCTCCTAGTCCTTTTTGTTTAAACTGGCTTGAAGGTCTAACTTCAAGGAAGACCACTTCCCAGCCTCCTTCATCATGACAGTGGGCCTGTGTGACTGGATCCTTGCCAGTGAGAAGGTGAGCAGATGGTATGTGTCATTTCCAGTCTCTAGCAGTTGACACTGAGTGCGTGAGCTCCACTCACCCTCTCCCTGACACTGCGGCTGTAAGTGAACAACTCGGGGGTAGCAGTGAAGAGGGAACAGCCTGATCCTGATTGCAGTTGGAGGACAGCTGCCAAAGAAGGCGGCGGGGCCTTCAGGGTGCTTTGTGTAAGAGAGAAATCAAGCTTTTTGTGTTCAACCACTGAGATTTCAAAGCTTTTTTGTCTTTCCAGCAGAGTCTTTTGACTAATACAGTGGGTTTCTTTTACTTTCAACCAAAAAAGCTTTTACTAAGACAGCTGGGTCACCTGTGTCCTCAGTTTTGGAATGCCTGGGAAGGTTCTTATTTGTGAAATTCCAGAATGATCAGAGATAATAAAGCCCAGGCCCAGGGGTGGGATTCAGGAGCCAGGGTACAAGAACGGGAACTGAAGGATGGCAGCCAATTTTGCCGAGGTTTCCACTTCCCTGTGAGCTGCCTTTCAGCCCATTGGCAGATGGCAGGGATGAGGGAACAGGCAGGAAACTTCTGTGGCCAGAGCAGGGCAGTGAGCAAGGCACTTCCACCTGCTCTTGGGTCAAGTCTGGGGACAGAGTCAGGCAAAGGGGAATACCTGAGAACAGACCAGCCTGGCAGCAGGGATCCTAGGTACTAATCTGACCATTACCACCTGCCAAGGGAAGGTGGAGCTTGGTTTCCCAATCACAATGCTTACCACGGACAAATTCCTAGAAACATCCAAATTACCAAAACTGACTGGAGAAGAAATAGAAAATCTGAACAGACTTATAACAAGAGATTAAATCATTAAAGATCAAAACAAAACTTCCAATAAAGAAAAGTCTAGAATCAGCTGTTTCACTGGTGAATCCCACCAAACATTTAAAGAAGGATTAGCACCAATCCTTCTCAAACTCTTCCAAAAAACTGAAGAGGAAGAGAAAGAAGAATTAGAAAGTACCACTTCTAACGCATCCTATGAGGCTAGTACCTGACCCCAAAGGCAGTCAGCAGGTGCCTCTAAGGAGGGGCAGCACATGCCCCCGGCCTGCTGAGGTGCTTGTGGACAGTTTCCACCCGACTTGATTCAGATGGAACAAAGATGCTGGGTGAGATGAGCGTCTGGGACAATTAGCTCTGGCCCCTCCTGAGTTCCTTGCCAAGTCCCTTGTTTTTACTGCAGAACTTCCCCTACAACCTCTCTCCTGCCTCCTTGGCCACCCAACCCACTATCCCACCCGCTCAGCCAACAGGCAGCTTCCCCAGGCTGGGCCTTCACTGCTCCTTGCTGCTGTCCGGTCTTCCCCTTCTAATCTGAGTCCAGTGTTTCCACCACCACCGTGCACAGAAGCACGGGGGGCCTGTTCACAGGCAGACTCTGACTTGGTCACTCTGGCGTAAGTCTGAGGCTCTAAATTTCCAACATTATCCCAAGGGCTGTCCATGCTTCCAGTTCTGGGGCAAGGTTTGGAGTATTGAGAGTTGAGAACACCCATCCCAGGAACACCTTTGACTCCAGTTCACATGGCTGCCTGAGGGAACTGGGGAAGTCATCCCTGGCTGGGGAGCCCTGGGGAGCAGGACTGCGAGACCTGTGCAGAGGGAGGACCAGAGCCTCCGTCTCCAGAGCAGAGAGGCTGCTGCATTGCATACGCCTCACACATGCACACGCATGCCACAACACACCCAACTCTTGCCCATATCACACATGCACACACACATTCACCCTCCCTCATGCCCCTACACACCACACACATGCACTGACATCCCACACCTCCTGCACGAACACTCTCCAACACCTCCACATATCCTACACACATGAGCATGCACACACACACACATGTGCATGCGCACAGGCACACACAGACATCTCACACCTCTGGCATGAACATCCTCCAAAACCTCCACATACCACACACACATGCACACACAGACATGCACCCTCTACATACACATGCACACATGCACCCCCCACATGCATGCACCCACACACACCCATACATGCAACCCTCTGGCCTGTGGGAGGCGCTAGGCTCTGCTAACCAGAACTGGTGTGCAGCACCTTCTACAGTTTACAAGTTTCAACTTCTCATGAGACATCAAGATTCTGATTTTATAGATGAAGAAGCAATGGTCCTCAATGCTAAGTGACTTGTTGTAGGTGGCAGGAGTCATGGATCCAATTGGGTCACCCAGAAACTATGTTACTGTTGCCAGAGTCAGCACAGAAGGTAGGTGGGGGACACAGAGGTAGGTGGGGGACACAGAGGACCCCTGTGGGTCAAAGCCTCCCTTCTGCACAAGGAAAAGGACAGGAAGGGAACAGGGGACACTGTGGTCCCCGGGTGATGAAGCAGGGAGTGCTCTACTTCTCACAAAAGGTGGCCTGGGTGGCAGGATGACAGGAGGAGGTCACAGCATATCTGCTGCTTCAGCCCTTCCCACTTCTTTCCGGAGTGAACCAGGCAGCAGGCAGAACTGACACAGGAATGGGGGTTTAAAAATGCCTCAACTCTAATCATTCACTTGGGAGGATTTATGATGCTAAAGGCAATCTGAAGGGACAATCATTATCCCTGCTGAATATGCCTAAAGCATGAAGCGCTTTCACAGTTCACCCCTGGGGCCAGCATGCACACATGTACACACACACACATATGCACGTGTGCACACATCCCTATATCCTGCATCCCATTCTTCACCCTGAGCCCCACCAGCAAAGAACAGGCACCTGGTGGCCCACAGATCGCAGACGCTGGTGGTGAACCTGTATCTCACCTAAAGAGAGAAATGGAGAAATCTTCACTTGTCAAATTTCCTTCTAGCCAAACCAAATGAAGCAAGCTCTAAGCTTGGCTCCAGAGCCCCTGTACTCACTAGCTGTGTGCCATTGGACAGGACTTTTCGATCTCTCTGTGAGTCAGTTTCCTCATCTGGAATATGGGCAGCATAGGTCCTGCAGAGTGATACAAGCCTGGGATGAGGTAACACACAGGAACAGGCTCAGGAAACTGTAAAGCACGGCATGAACATGAAAAGCCAACAGTAACAACTGCAAGAGCATTTGCAGACATGATTAGTGGGAGCAAACACGCAGGAGCCTGGGGAAAGCCTGTGACTCACTATGCCCATTAGTGGGCCCTGCTTAGGGGACTGATCCCTTCCTGGCCCTCCAGCCCGGCCACTTGACACAGAGGAGTGTGCGAACCTGCTCTGCTGAGCCTCTGCCTCCTCCAGCCCACCTCCCTGGAGGCAAGCATCAGGTAAGCACTTGCACTCCCCTCAGTGGTTACACTGATTAGGTGTTTATCTCCCTGGCCAGGATGTGTGGTGTCTTCAGCTAGTGTGGCTCTCTCCTGGCTCCCCAGACTGGCTGCCCCTCTTGAGCACCAGCCCATTGTTGTTACCAAGCCCCAGGGGTGCTATTCTAAGAAAGGGACAAAGCTAACATAAGTCCCCCTGTAGCACTCACGGGCTGCTCTTGGACTCACGCAGCAAATGTGCATTGAACATCAGCTACTTGCCAAGCTGGGTCTGGAATGCCAAGATGAAAATAGTGCCAGCAATCAGGGCACACTGAAACCAGAGAGGGAGGTACTGTGTGTGCTGCGTGCTGCAGCAGAGAAGAATCAGAGTGGGAGGTAGTGTCACCAGGAGGGGCTTCACGGAGGAGGTGACACTGGAATAGGGACTTGAAGGGTGAAGAGAACTTTGTCAGATGCAAAAGCATTCTAGGGGCAAGGAAGGCTGCCCCTAAGTAGAAATGCAGAGTGTACAAAGGCCCGAGGGCAGGTTGAGGGGATGGAAGGAGGCTGATGCAGCCAGGACACCAGGTCTGTGGGGCACTGACCTGCTGATGCTTACATAGTCAGTTATCTTTCTACGTTTCTCTTCTGTTCCCTGGCTGGACTGGAAACTCCTTGAGGGCACAGGCTGCATAGTTTGATTCAATTCTTTGTGATTCAATAAACACTTACTGATCATATGTGATATGTAAGGCCTTGAGCTGTTTCCTAAGGAAAAGTCAAAGACTAGGTCAAGAGTAGGTTCCTGTGACGCAGGGGCTCCCAGTCTAGGGGGTGAGACTGACATACCCACTGGGAACCACAAAACAAGGCAGAAGGCACAAGAGCCTGAGTGGAAGCTCCCAAGGTCCAGGGAGTCTGACGGTGGGAGAGGAAAGAGATGAATGCCAACCAGGAGGGATCAGGGAAAGTTTATGGAGGAGGTGGTGTTGAGCAGGCTCTTAAATGTCAACAGGAAAGATGGTGGGAAGTTTATCTTTACAAGTGGAAGGGCTGGCATATGTGAAGTTCCAAGGTTTGAAAAATGCAGGTCAGTTCTGGAATAATGATGAAACTACCCTGGCAACGATGGTAGACGTATAAGTGTGTATGTGTGTGTATGTAAGGTGGGGAGGGAGTTAGGAAGAAACTAACAATAATTATCTCCTATATAGCACTTACTGTGGGCCAGTCTCTTAAAAATTATGTATATTTGCATATTTTACATATATTAAGTTACATAGTCTTCAAAGTAGCATCATGAGGTAGATTATA